CGTATAAACTATGCTATAAACAAAAAATTGTAGGATTAATTACCGAGTGTGCACCGTTCGACGTCGCCATTGCTTAAGCTTGTTTTCGTCGCGGAGCAGCGTACCAAACGGCGGCCGCGATTTCTGATGTTATTTTTCTGCGAAAAATTCGTTGAACTTTGGAGACATCATTAATTAATAGAAATAATTTTTATGGCCGTTGAATAAGAAATGTTTCTTTCACAAGAAATGTATAAAATTAGTGCTGTATTAGACTTACGGTACCTAATTTACATACTGTACAGACGACAGTAAACTCAACTTACTCGCCTAAACTCTCCGTAGCGTGGCGCTGAAAGTAGTTCGGCTGCTCGTCCGCGATGACGAGTTGGCGATGACGTTTTACGCGTCCCTTTAAGCGTCTTTATACGAATATTATCGCAATTTTTCGCCGCGTTATAGGAATCTCCTGTGTAGGAACCCGCGTTATAGGGGGTCTACTGTATATTTTTTCGTACATAATCGGTTATCCGAACAACCTGTCCCAATCGATTCGGATAAACGACGCTTTACTGTACTTCAAACTTACGACTAGTGCCGCGAAAGTGGTTTACAAGAACTATTAACAGTAACCAATCACGTTGATTCAGTTAAATTTATGTTCTTATATTGTGTTATAAATATTTTTTAAAATTTGTATTTATCGCAATTTTAAACTTGATATTTTAATTTTAGATATCGAACAACGATAGTTTTATATTTTTAGACATTATTTTTAGCTTAAATCTATTTAATAAGAAGTTATTCACGGTTTAACGAAAATGTGTGTGTGTGTTTTTCCATCATATTTTAAATACCGTATACTCAATTTATATTATACATAAAATATTAGTACATTTAATGCAACTTTGTCTAATTTTTAGTTGAAACTTAGAAGTAAGTTTTAAAAATAGAATTATAAATTTTATATGAATTTTGTATTATGTTAAATATGAGCATATATTGAAATTTATGGATTAAAATAAAATAATTTACTCTTTCAATAAACTATTGATAATTAAATGAGACAACATAGCTTAATGTAATTTAAACTTACAAATTCATATGCTGGAACATTGTGTAAAATTAGATTAAAAATGGAAATTATTTGATTTGTATTGAAGGAATCATTCGTTCTATTCTCGTTCTACATTTCTAAAACGTTTCAAATATTCATTTATTCTATTGGAACTTACGAAATTTTAATTATTTGAAGTTACTATATAGGTATATTCAAAGATTATTCTTAATAATCAATTCTATATTAAATTATTAATTATAATTATTAATAATGCAATATTTACTATAAATATTAGTTATATATTTGTTTTATTATTAAATGACAAAAATATTCAATGAATATTAGGACTAATTTAAAAAATTATACTAGGAACTGTCCCTAAATTATATGACTGGTTAGAACGAAATCGTTAAGATTAGTGATGTGCCGGATCGTTAAAAATGTATATCCGCGGATACGGATACGGATACGGATCATTAGTGTCTAGATCCGCGGATACGGATACGGATATGGATCTCAACTTTCGTACTCAGTCGGCGCCGGTGCGTGTGACCTTGGAGCGATATTTGACGCTTTGCGTTAATAACACGACGTGTTTTTGTTTATGGTGTAAAAGTGTGCTAAATTAAAATTCACCACAAAGGTAGACAGGATAAAGTAACAAAAATTGATATAATTTTCCAATTAAGCTATTTCGCGTCTTTATACAGATTCTATTTCGGGGGATTCCAACTTCACGGTACAAACAGTAGCATGCGAAATTACAGCGATAATAATAGTTCGCTGTATCCAAAGCACCTGTAAAATACAGATCTCGATCGCGACAATATAACCCGGAACCTTAAAACTGATCTTAAACACTTACTTAACATTAATAACAGAAAAAGGGATAGAATTAAGAAGACAGAAAAAATGGTAGATAAGATAGAAATAGGGATATCTGGGGTTTTGTCCCTTTTTTCGGCTTGTTTCTTTACGCGTACTGTTGGGTGGGATAACACACGTCCTTCTCCGATAACTGGCCAGTTCTCTTCTTCAATAATTAGGATTTTTCCTTCCACAGTTGTCAAAAAGACCTTAAAACAGGATCTTTTTTCTGAACATATTTCCGAACTATCCGGTCATTGAAAATACGAATCCCAGTATTTTCACCTCGTCCTTACACTCTGCCGTCCGGTTTACGAATGACCTGCTACGTCACTTATCTTTTTTCTCCGGCTCCTGTTTACACCTTTGCTCCTCAAATTTCTAGGAACTGCTCATCCCACCCAAGGGACAGGTAATAGATAAGAAAGTTGTAGAAGAAAATAGAACAATAGAACAAAGCGTAGAAAGAAGAAACGAAAGTAAACTAAAATTAATATTTACAAAAATATAGATACCGCCACAATAGTTTAGTGCAGTGTTTCCCAACCTTTTTTGTGCTATGCCCCACCTAAGCCTTTCTAAAATTCTTATGTCTCCCTAACATATACAGCGGCTATACGGTTAACTTAAACTCTGGACAAGTCCATTTTCGAATTGCCCTCCTTAGCAATCCAATTGCCCCCTGTGGGGTGTGGGCCCCACGTTGGGAAACACTGATTTTTAGCTAGTGTGACACGGGATAGCAAAGATTACGTTTGTGTTTATGGAGAGTGTTGAGTTAAATTAAAATAAAAACAATGTCGACAAAAAAATTTAGTAGTGTAATATGGAAATATTTTACGATAGTAAATGACGAATGTGCTATTGCTACTTATGTTTAAAATTTCATATAAGTAATGAAATTCATTAAGATAAAAGATCCGTTAAAGATCCACTAAAAAGTAACGGATACGGATACGGATACGGATCTTTTTTTCCCTCGGATATCCGCGGATACGGATACGGATATCCGGCACATCACTAGTTAAGATGCGTTACGGGGGTTGGAATGTACAGTACACTACTAACAAGAATTAAAGGGTATTTCAAAATGAACATGAAGCGATAAAAAAAAAAAACAGTATTTAATTTCCTTTTATTAAATAAGAACATCAGAAAAACAAACGACAAGTCGAAGAAAGTTGTTCGATTATGCCAGGAGTCACCAAACTACGGCCCGAGAGGTCAGTTCATCCGGCCTGTTGCCTCATCGTGCCACAAATGAGCTAAAATATATAATTATTTACATGGAAATATAGATTGTAGATAAACTTACTATGTAAAAAAATTAAAATAAGTGTAAGTAAAAATGCCAAAATTGGTCCAATCTGATTTTTTCACCTGATAGTAATATAATTTTTAGATAAATCAGTGAAAAAAAATTCGGCCACGTTTTACGATTTTGGATATCAGAACGCTTTTTATACAAGTATCTGCTATGAATTTTGTAAGGAAAGTGATTGCGGCTTGCTGCAGCGATCGTGTTTGTGTATCTATCTATATCTATCTATATATATATAAAAATGGACGTGTTTGTGCCTATACGTCACTCTGCAGCCAAAACTACACATCGCACATGAATGGTGTTTGTGTGGTCCCAAGTCTCCCATCGTGCACTATGGTGGTTGCATCTCGATAGCTATAAGGGTGTGAGAGATATGGGGTTTGAAAGTGGTTGACTTCGAAAATGCGCTTCAATGAGAATGTTCCAGTTTTTTCTAGAAAGTTCCAGAACCTAGAGGTGAAATTTGGCACACAGTTAGGGTACGTCTTGAAACGCACACTAAGAAGAGATTTTTCGAAATTTCCCCGCGGGGGAGAGGGAAAGCATTAAGTCTTAACCTGAAGAAAGGCTTCTACTGTACTATTTTAGATGCGATTATTTTGTTTTTAATTATGTTCAGTCTTCATTGAGTACTTAGGGGTATTAAATTGATAACATTTCAGACAGTGTTATAAATATTTTTTATATATTTCGATTTTTTAACCAAATGTTCGAATTGTTTTAAATTTGAATTTCTTTTTGCATATTGGTTCAATTATAGAACGATTATAAACTTTCCAGAAAATTTATCAAATTAAAAACAGTTTGTTTGATTCTCAGCAATTCTCATCATTCTCAGTGGTAGGGGTTAAATAACAATTACTATGGTGGTTGAAATATTGAATGTAAATAGGGTTTGCTTGCAAAATCCGCGCGAGCAAAGCCGCGGGTAACAGCTAATTGGTAAATAAATATGCTGGTTGTCTTTATTTATTTGTGTATTCAGTGTGCTGTATTGAACAAAATGGTTATATGCCCCACGCTGGTCATTCTCAGTTATCTGGCGTGCTGTGAAAAAGTTTGGTGATTTCCTGGATTATGCAAATGAGATGCAAACTCAATTATCGTGATTTAATAGCAAGTGACATATTGGAGTGGGTGAACAGAAGCATGTCAGACTGGACGAGAGTGCCACACATTGACTGTTTAGTAGGGTGTGTGGTCACCCAAGATTGCCAAAACACACTGACAGCAATGGAGCATAGACAGGATCAGATTGTCCAGCAGTTCTTGTGGGATCTTCTGCCACTTTTGCTCCAGGGCAACTCAAGCTCATGAAGTGTTGTCGGAGGCATTGGACGGTTTGCCAGACATTTTCCTGGTGCATTCCAAGCATGTTCAATGTGATTTAGGTCTGGAGAACGTGAAGGCCAATCCATGCGTTCGATTCCTGCCTCCAGAAACATAATGTTGACGAGAAGGTGAGTCTTGCATTATCGTCTGTGAAAAGAAAGTTGTTTCCAATTGCTCCAGCGTAGGGTACCACTACAGAGTGCAGAACCTCATCTTGATATCTGACAGCAGTCAGCGATCCGTTTCTGATGACATGAGGTCGGTACGACCACCAATGCAAATGCCAGCCCACACCACGATTCCACCACCATCACCGAGGGAATCCCTTTCTGCAAACGTGGATTCTCCCATGTTCCTCTTTCACGCCAGATCAGGACACGATGGTTGTCAGGCTTCAAACTGAACCGTGACTCATCAGAGAAGAGGACAATTGACCACTCATCACGGGTCCAATGACAATGCTCATCAGTCCATCTTCTAAGGGTTGTACGGTGCTTAGCAAATAACGGAATGCATACCATTGGTCACCGAGCACGCTGTCTAAAACGATAGAGCCGATTTCGTATGGCCTGAGTGCATATCAGTTGTCTAGTGGCAGCAAGAAACTGTCCCCGCAGCTCTGTTGCATTACTGCGCTTGTTTCCACTAAGGTCAAGTAGTGGTCATCTCTTACTCTTGTGGTAGATGGGTGCCACAAGAGCAAGACCCTGCCCTCGTCTTCCTCGTACTGTGCTAGTCTGTTGAAAGCATTCTACAGTCTGCTAGTCTCGTTTTGGGATGTTCTAAGTACTGTTGCCACTGTCGTCTGTGTTTGACCAGCTTCAAGACGTTCTCTGGCTCTCCAGACTTATACAGCCGATTGCAGAGACAACGTTTAGAGGCCGACAGCGGTTTACAGATCGGATAGACCGCTGTTCAGAAAAATTTCATTGCAGAGACGGCGTTTCTCTCCTGCCACAATGTAGACAGCGATTAGAAACAAGTTATTTGACCTACTTTCTAGACTCACTCGACAGCAGATTTAGAGGGCTTTTCAATTCGAGTGGTATCTTTGTTCGAGGAAAAGTTTAGATAAAAACAGATATCGTTCCTATGATAAATGTTGTAAACGGTACGAATCGACAAAATTATTCATTAATTAATTGCTTCGAGCAAAAACAACAAAACTAAATAGTTTGGAACATTTAAAACAAATTTAATTTCGATATTCAAATGGGTGAACACTTAAAACTTCGATTAATTTAAATCAGATGCATTTATTTACAATTCGAGTATCGTGTCGGTTATAAAACGTTAATGCATTTTGGAGTCATTGTATTGTTAAACAAACGTGACAATTTTAATAATTACAGAAATCTGTTTATAGATATTTAAAAAATGTAATATTAATAATAAAATATTTAAAATTATTTATTTCGATAGTTACGAAGGGCGACAGTAATAAGATGTCGAAATAATTTTTTAAAAATCTATTCCGAAGACGAATTTCGAATTCGGTATAAATTTTCTAAATATGGATTTGTTCATATTTTAAACCGTATTGGCGACGAAATTAAATATCGAAATGGAAAAGGATTGTCATTAATTGCCGAACAATGGTTTTGACGGCCTTAAGATTTTATTTCTGGAAGCTTTCGGAATATAGCTGGCGACCATTT